TGGATTTACGACCCAAAAGCCAGGACATACATAGTACATAGTATTACCTAAGAGTGACGGACTGTAATCCAATTGACCACGTTCACACGTAAGCCTAAAGGCGTTCTTTGGGATTTTGCAATCCGCATTAACCGTAATGTACATTTACTGCAAATCTAAATATATCACTACGAATCTAATTATTTAATTATATTATTATAAATAAAGTATATAATTTATTGCCGAACAGATGATTTCTCCATTTTTGACTTCATTATATCCCCTTTGTGGGAAGAACATGCTAGAAGACTGTAAATAGGACGTTACATTTCTTCAATTGTTTGCGTTTATTTTATAAGAAAACCAGGTTTGCCAATACTGAAGCAGGGATACAGTAAAGCTGTCTGTCTCATACGTGGTCCGTCGTTCACCATAGCATTGGTGTCCACTTTAATGTACACATGAACCTCTTGAAACGAGTTGACTCAGTGCAAGGATGGTACAATGACCTCGTAGATATTTATATGTAACTGTGACCGAGATATGACATCACACTATCCACTACATGTACGAGTATAGTCTATGACTACTGATACTCTTGAGATATACCACAACATAAATTGTCTTAGTGTGATAAGGGGGCTACTCTTGTTTATATATCCGGGTAAAGGTAAAGCTGTCCCTGTGCTCAACGAATTAAGCACTGCGCCATAAAGGCGTATGGGGGAGTGGTTGTATAGATCCGCATTTTCTTGACCTTAGCACTAGATAGAGGTGATCACCAAAACTAGTACGGTATAGCAATATGAACCTGACAGCTGGGACAGGGAACCCTTCATAAAAGTGTTCATGTTAGAGACCCAGAGAAGAGAATTTTTGGACCCAAGGAGGAGGATGTGACAGGAGGCTGAAGTAAACTGCATAACGAGGAGCTTCATAATTTGTGCTCTTCTGCTGACGATTAGGATTTGTTTTAATGCTAGTGGGGTGGGACTAAGTCCCTTGTACTGCGGCCACTTCTGGCCTATTGTACCAGCCCCAGATGATAGGTGAGGGTGATTGTGGAGCAATTTGTGGAATAAAGATTGGTAGGGGAACCAAAATACTCGGAGGAAGCCTGCCCCAACGCCACTTTGTCCACCACAAATCCCACTTGACCAGACCCGGGATCGAACCCGGGCCGCCGCGATGGGAAGCCAACGACTAACCGCTTGAGCTATAGCGCGGCCCATGAGTAGGATGCTTACCGCGTATGTATAGAAAGGGTGGAACATACAGCCCGCATAGAAGATGATAAGAAATGCCTACAAAATTTTAGTAGCGAAGAGAAAGAGGTCGATTGGAAGAACTGCTCCAAAAAGGGAGGATTAGATCAAGAAATACCCTTTTTTATAATGTTGCATCCCGTTTTCGATTTCATTAATACCGAAATTTTCGCCGTCAGGAAACCTGTTAACATCTATTTTCTCGTGTGTGTGTGTGTGTGTACATTTCATAACTTGTACTCTTCTCCAGGTAGAATTAGAATGATCAAGTCAAGAAGGATGCGGTGGCCAGGGCATGTAGCACGAATTGGGGAGACGAGGAATGCGTATATGATATTGGTGGGAAAGCCAGAAAGAAAGAGACCACTGGGAAGACCAATGCGTAGGTGGGTGGACAATATTAAAATGAATCTTAGAGAGATAAAATGGGGTGGTATGGTATTGATCGGATTGATCTGGCTCAGGATAGGGACCAGTTCAGGGCTCTTGTGAACACGGTAATGAACCTTCGGGTTCCATAAAATGGTGGGAAATTCTTGAGTAGCTGCAGAATTGGCGGCTCCTCCAGAAGGGCTCGGCTCCATGATTAAGTATATATATATATATAAATACAGTTAATTACGTCGAATTATACTTAATTCGCAGGTTTAATTTCGTTTACACCCTACTCGAAATCACATTAACTTTTGTGTTTGTTCACCTGATGATGATCGTTTTTGGTCGAAACATGGAGTAAACTAAAAGAAAAACAAATTGTTATAAAATATAACTTTTTATGAAGGTAAAGACTTCTAATTATTATTAAAGCTTACCTTAAAGAAATGGGATACGAGGGTATTGATTGGTCTAATCTGGCTAAATATAGAAATCAGTAGCGGGTTACTGGGAACACCTAATTACCTTGAGGTTATGTAAAAGACAAGGAAATTCTTGAGTAACTGAGCGACGTAGGTCACGCCATAGCTCAAGCGGTTAGTCGCTGGCTTCCCACCGCGGCGGCCCGTGTTCGATCCTGGGTCTGGTCAAGTGGGATTTGTGGTGGACAAAGTGGCGTTGGGGCAGGTTTTCTCCGAGTACTTCGGTTTCCCCTACCAATCTTCATTCCACCAATTGCTCCACAATCACCCTCACCTATCATCTGGGGCTGGTACAACAGGCCAGAAGTGGCCGCAGTACAAGGGACTTAGTCCCACCCCACTAGCAATAAAAAAAAACCGAGCGACGTACGTTCTTCTCAACAAGGACTGTTCCAAGGAGTTGAAGAGATGAAGACGTAAACCATTTCTGCAGTGTATGAAAAATTACTCGATCGGATTAGCATTTCCTGAAAGTTAAAGTAACTGGAACATCCGTTACCTCGAGTTCAAATATACGGCCCATAGTACTAAACTAACATCATGGTGGTGAGGCCTTCTTGAGAGGCCACCAGTTATGCAGTTACTCAAGAATTTCCCAACATTTTATGGAAACCGAAGGTTCATTACCGTGTCCTCCACTGGTCCCTATCCTCAGCCACGTCGATCCAGTTCATACCACCCCATCATATCTCTGTAAGATTCATTTTAATATTGTCCACCCTCCTACATCTTGGTGTTCCAAGTTGTTTCTTTCCTTCTGGCTTTCCCACGAATATCCTATATGCATTCTTTTTCTCCCCCATTCGTGCTACATGATCTAATCCTTCTTGACTTGATCATTCTAATTATATTTTGCGAAGAGTACAAGTTATGAAGCTCGTCATTATGCACTTTTCTCTAGCCTCCTGTTACTTCATCCCTACACAGCCCATAGAAGTAAATACAAATTTTAAAAACGCAAAAATTGTCATAATCTTTGCATGATATGGCTTAGAAAGATCCCCTTTTATATCAGCAGCCTTCTCGCATATCGGATCTGTTTTGTGCGTACATGTATATGTTATGGTCAAAAAACGAAGTCGGCCGTTCTTGACGTTGACCGGCTGTTGTCGACAGTGACCGTAATTCTTGGTCACTGTCAAGAGCGTCCAATCGCATATGACAATGTCAATGAACAGGGCAGGTTGAGCCGTCGTCAGTAGTGTCCAAGAGCAGATGGTCAGTGACAAATTGATGAGATAAAATTTATTTAACTGTAACTTTCAAGCTACCGGACTGAGAAATAAATGGAAGTAGTCTTCAGACAAATCATAAATTTCGAATTCTACAGTGTGTCTTTTTAGCTATACATGAGTATTTTTTTCGTGAAACACTTGGATTTATAGTTGCATGCTGAGAAATCTTGACGTCCTGATACCGGCAACAACCCTTGTCGTGAATAGTCAGCTTCGCAATTTCTTCTTTGCCAAAGCAGAACTGACACACACGGAAACGTCGACTGTTGATGACTGTGTCAACAATTTCCAATCTTGTCTGAAATTATTCATTATAAAAACGTAAACAAAAGGTAAAGTTATCCCTCTAACAGGCCCTGAAGGCCCATAAGGTTGTTGAGACGTCGGGACTCCCACATTTTCTCTAAACAGTCGACTCACAGATGACGGTAAGGTTGTCAGCCTTACGCGCCGGCCTCCCTTTACCCCCAGGAAGATGCCTGGCACTCATTTCTGTTAGAGGCTGAGTCGACCCCAAGGCCATGCTGCTGGAAGGATGAGATAAATTGAAAAAATCCACCTCATCGGGACTCGAACCGGCGACTTTCCGGCTTATAGCATAGAGCCTCAACCAACTGCGCTACCGCGTTCCCAAATAACAGACTGAAGTACACATTGCCCAAAACGTGAAGCCTTTGTCGGCGATAACCGCCCGAAGAGGAGCGGTCACTGACAGTGGTCGGGAGATCCCCCACATTCCCCGATTTCGGTCTTTAGCCTTAACACGCTGTTAATTAATTTAACAGCTGTTACAAAAATATTCTTGTGTATTCCAGAATGGCTCCTTTACAGAAACTTTCATATATGTTCTTTTCACGAAATTATATTCCGTTTGGAGATTGAACATAAGCTTACCTACCCAAAAATTCGTTATGGGATGTTTTTAACAGCTGCAAACATGACTGCGAGAATTTTCAACATTGTACTGGGAAAATTGAACGTAGTCATAATCTGTACTGACAGGAAATTTCACGAAATGGATACCGAAGTTGTAGGAATATGAACTTCAAGTGTCTATTAGAATTACCATGTTTTTTAAGGAAAGAAGCACGTAACCCACAATAAAGCTTAAGGTAGTATAAGTGTTTTGAAGAATGTAAACTTCGAGTTCAATATGGTTGTGCCCATCTATCCGTAGAGATCCTACCAGCGTGCAGTCTACAGACATTCTTCAGTAAAGAACGCTGGGAACAAAACATAAAGCACTTTTTCCAATTATGAAATGTTAGTTTTGGAAGAAACCCACGTCAGTTTATAGAATTTAGCAGGATACAGTATTTTCGAACGACCAACCGACTTTTCAGTTATGCAAAATAGCAAAAAGCTATTTCACTTCTTTCTTTCCCTCCTCTCAAAGTAAGTATCCTACTTCTTGCCTTTTATTCCTTTCCCTATTATAGAGTGAATTAATACGCAACAAACAACGAAAATAGAATTTACTGCTTTGCATAATCTCTTTGGCTCTGTAACACTCCTAATACTGTAAAAGCTGAAGTACACAAAACACGAAACCAGTTTCGGTGCTATGTTTGTCTAAGGAAACGAAGTTCATTTAGTTTAGGGGCAGTGGCTTTCAGATTCTAGTACGATGGTGACTGAGTCATCCTTATTTTATGCTTCCTTAGGTGACTCCTAGTCTCAGCGGTGCAGCCCTCAATCCCAACGCTGACGTGTTCGAAAGCAAACAGTCTGAAGGCAGCATCGATGTGTCCTCAAGTTGGGACATCCCTGACACAGAGTTTACCTCTTTGGACGGTAAGTGCACGTTTCTGTCACACTTAGTATGTTACAAATTTTGGAGATGACGTTCAGATGCAGTTTAATAAAGGGTTTTGCCAGAATTCTTTCACGATGTTTACAAAAGTTTTACAGCGCGTTGAACCGAACAGGCTGATCTAGAACCTTATTCGGGAGGTTCTTGGTTGGAATCTCGATCGGGACACCGTTTATCCCTAAAGGGTTTTCTTTTTCGTTGCCCTCGGTTCCTTTAGGCAAATGCCAGGATAATACCTGGATTAGGCTACGACCATTGACTTCCAAGCCCTTTCTAATTCGTCATTCGTCCTATCATGCGATACTTAGCGCGTTCTGAAACAACCCACTGAAAAAAAAAAGGTTGGGTTCCAGGTGACTGTCGTAAAATGGCTTTCGACTTCAACAGGAATATCTTCATAGCAATTTTCTGTTCTTACCACCCACTGATATTATGACGTTAACAGAATAAATACTCCGCTTAAATCTTGCTTCGATGTTCAGTGATGGAGATTAGCTGGCTCTAATGGGCACAGCTCAGTGAAGTAGGAGCCTCTCCTCCATTACACGTGACAACAGATCCAGTTTTCGAAACGTTATGTTTGAAAATGCCCCGGGCGATGAACACTATTCAACATACGGTAATAGTCACAGTCGGTCAAACACAGGTTTCCATACGACGGATGTGTTTCATTCCACAACTCTTTTTAACTAGCCAAGCCACCAGACGGCATCATCTTCACTTATTAATTTGTTTCCTATATTAATATTGATTGATATTGTGACATGACGCATGAAAACCGGAATAGCGGAGCCAGAGTAGACGTTCGTTGCTATGCAATGACTCGCTAAACACGTTACCGCGGGAACGAATACGCAAGCAACAATTGACTATAAAGATGGAAATAGTGTTTTCTGTTGGGTCCGCACTTAGACTATATACTGAGGACCGTCAGTCGGCCAGTCGTAAAGTGGCTCGGACTCTGACAATGTGACTTTGACTTTGACTTGATCTGATAGAATAATTGAAAGTGTCTCTTTAGACGTCAGTCGAGGATGATAGAGAAGAGATGGCAACAAAGAAATCAGGTGGTGCGTATGTGATGCAGTTACAATGAGACTGGTAAAATTATTGTGTTGAAATCCGTTGCCAGGATACGATTATTGAAGACTGAGAACCCTAGTGTGTGTGTAACGGTGAACTGTAAAGTGCGTAGATCAGCGATAGCGCTGAATTACGTGTAGTTACGAGTTGAGTGTATAAGTGCAATAAATCCAATCATCCAATCCAAAACCCTGTGAAAAAGTCACACCTCTAATACACGTGACAATATTTATTTCTCGTTTTGAAACACCTGAGGTACAGCGATGTAAAAAATGCCCCCCATTATATTTCGTGGAACTGTGTTCTTTGTGCGCTCAAGTAGGCAGAACTTTCTGTAACGCCATCTGGGGATACTACCGCTCAGGAGGTTCATTGGCTTTTGATTTGCGTTATATCCATGGGAACCGAAACTAATCAGTGAAATAAGACGAAGGTAATTTTCTTTAAAATTTGTTGCGCGAAATGGCCGTTATCGTTAAAAGTGCTGTAACAAAGCTGACTAAATATTACTCAGTTAAGGGGATTTTGCCTCCTACCGCCGCCTCAAAGTCCCGTATTGAATGTCACAACAAATACTGTTTCTCTTGGAACTGCCATCTTCCTGATATGTTCTAATTATTTAGAATTTATTTTGCTTGGTTACGACTGATCTTATCAGAAAAAATCATATACTTTTCATTTTCTTGTGATTTATTTTATGATACTGTCAGTATCTCAAACTGTGTAGAGTCCACTGTTAGGATGATTAGCAAATGATTACTTTGTTCCATGTCCATTTTACTGCATGTGAGCGATCTAGATTAAAAGTTGAATGTTAAACCTAAATTACATTTTGTTGACCCATTTTGTTTTGTTCAGTTTGTAGCGTTTAAGAGTAACTTTCCTAAATGCTTATGTGTTATGTTATTAGAGAAAATTATTGGGAATCATCAGCATGGTTTCACCATAACAGATAGCTATTGATCACATATTCTGCTACCAGCAGATAATGGAGGAAAAAATTTAGTAAACCAGAATGTCAGTATATCAGTTCTTTGTATGAATATAATGAGGGTCTATGATTTAGTTATGAGAGAATTATTATACAACTTTCTCATTGAATTTGTATACCCATGAGTATATTATAGTCAGGGAAAGAATGATCACAGATTCTTTCTCACCATTTGCCTAGCAGGTAGCATCTCTCTGTGTTCCTACCATCACTCCAACCGTCACTTATATTCCTGCACTCTCTCTCTCTCTGTACATTCTCCGTTTGCTTGTTGGTGTTGATGGAGGGGAGTTGTGTGGTGTAGATGTGGAGATGCAGGCAGCCTATTTTAATTCCCACCGTTCATGTTCATTCTTTGCCTGATCTGAATTTATTTAGGCTAATTAGAATGTGCTTGAAAGTAACTTACAATAAATGTCTGTAAGGGTAGATATTTGCCTGACACAATCAAAAAAGCAGGAAAACCAGGACAAATAGGAACTTAGTGCAACATGTCAGTTATTGGTATATTCTGATAATTTATTGGCTGGAAACATAAATACCATAAAAATAAATCTAGAAGGTATCTTAGATGCTTATGAGGTTAGTCTAGATGCGAACACACGAATGTCTCATCATGAGAATATATCGTGGTGAGGGGGTTTGAGTATGCCAAGGACCCTGAGAGCTATACCAGCGGTAGCGTAGCTACTGGCAGGGCCTCCCTTGCTGGACAGGTCAAAGGGTAGGCATCAGACGAAGAGAGACACCAAAAACTGATGTCGGAAGCAGCGTCATCAGCAGCGACTTGAAGCACAGAGCAAATGATGCTCGAGATGGTTCAAGTTCGTATAGCAACAGGCGTGACCAGAGTGGTTTGAACGGCTGTTGTACTGCGATGTGGAAAGCAAATGGAAAAACTACCACATTATCACTTTTCCTGGATAGTCTCTTTCCAAAAACAGAAGATCGCATTAAGTGGAGAAACTGTTTTGGAAGAGACTGTGGACCTGTCGCCTGACAGATTACTGATGATGATAAAGATAGCTAATATGTTGTTTTTTTGTTTTTTTAATTTGAAAGTTCAAGTATTTTATTATGAGACTGATATATCAAAACTGCATTCACAAGGAAGTTAAGAAGAGATTAAATAACATTCAGTTCTGAACTTTTTGTCTTCCCATCCTGGTAACTAAAAATGTAAAGATTAAAATATACAGAATTATAAATTATCACTTATTTGATGTTGATGTGAAACTTGGTCTTCGTATTAATATAAGAATATCTATTAAAGTGTTTTAGAGACAGATCCTGAGGAGAATTCTTGAACATAAGTGGTTTCAAGTAACGGGAGTCTGGAATAATGAAGACCTTCATAATTTATGCTCTTCATCAGACATTGTTAGGATGGTCCAACCAAGGACGAGATGGATGGGACATGCAGTACATCTGGGAAGGATCAGAAATGTACACAATTTTGCTGCTGTTGAAAAGCTTGATGGAAGACCTAGATATAGATGGGAGAATAATATTAAATTTTATCTTAAAGATGTATGGTAGCAGGGTGTGGAGTACATTCATTTTGCTCAGGGTAAGGACCACTGACAGGCACATGTAAATATGCAATGACCCTTCATATTGCACAAAAGGCAGGAAACTTCAGGATTCTGCTCCAGGGAGTTTAGTTATATTATCCCTATCAATTATGAGATGCATTACTAGCGTTGTATATCGCCCCATCCATGAATCTGTATTATATGGAGTTGTTACTTAATGCTTCATCATCTAGACTCAGTAATGTTTGATTTTCCCCTCCTATAGGAACAGATGCACTGACCTTTGGCCCTGGAGGGTGGATTGATTCCAGGGCCTTTCCATTCATGATAAATAAGGCAAGAACTACCATCAGTTGTGTCAGTAACATTGCACCGGTAGGGTTTTTTCCAGGGTGGGGGTCAAAGCCACATTTGCAGCATTTGTTAATATTCCTATATATCATCCTATGATCCCAGGGGCAGAAGAAAAACATTTTTAAAAATCACTTTAATTTTTGTATTTGATACTAGGTATTTTTCTGTCTTCTCTTGATCTTTTGCAAAAATTCCGGGTTTGCAGCCCTCCCTATTGATGCTGATGCTCAGTAATTGAATAATGAACCTTCAGTTGTTAGCCAGTTGCTTCTTCACCTAAGTGGGATTATGTTACATTTTCACAGCTTCAGATACAAGTGTGGCAGATTCGGTGTTGTTTTATATTCACTCTTATACATATTTCAGAGCACATTTGTCATTACAGCAGTTATATACTTGTGCATGTAAATGTATGTATGAAGATGTATTCATGCATTTTGTAAGAGTAATATGTGTCAAGAATTACATTCACCACCCACACAACAAACAACACTTCTGTACTTGTGTCAATGACTGAACTAAAATTCTGGGAGAAGTTTCGCAATCTGTAGTTTTCAGTGGGATAAAATCTCAGAATCAATGGGAGGAGGACTTAGAACATGCACAGAAGAGATTAAAAATACATACAAAATTTTGCTTTCAACAAGCATGAAAGAAGAGACCACTTGGGAGACAAAGTTTAGAGAGGGAGAAATTGGAATGGATCTTCAAAAAATAAAACAGGACTCGAATCTATTCATATGCACACCAAATGGCAGCCTGTGGTAAACACAGCACTTAACCTTAGCATTCTCTAAACGGGGCAAGATTTCTTGACTCTCCCAGCGACTATTAGTTTCTCAACGACTTCGTTAAGACGGCAGAACGTAACTGTGTGCGCGCATACATATAACCACATGCACGTCTACAAAACATAGGTTATCGATTTAAATTCTTATTAATTTTGAAACGTCTGGTATGAACGAACTCAAAGTGGACATGAAGTGCTATAGCTTCGTACTAGTGATTGTGACGTCTG